GAATAATAAATGTACCTTTAAGGCAGCGAGGACAAAGAAGCCCAGTTCCATCACACACAGAGGAAACAGAGAGAGTCTCCTCCACACCTTCCCGAGGGAGAGGACTGGCATCCAGCGCTCGCTTGGCCCCAGCCCACTAAAGTAGACGTCCAGCAGCGGCTCACAGAGCAGCCTGACCAGGTAGCAGCCTAAGGCAAACGGGTTGGCYGGGATGCCTAAGGCCTGGAAAAACATGAGCGACGTAATCAAAGCAAAACTGAGCAAGTTGGGCAAAGCCAGGAGGGATTTCATCCTCAGGTCCACAATGAGAGCTCCCAGGGCTACRACCAGGCCTATTATGGCCACTGAATTTTGAAGAAGCATGCTGGTGCTGGCAACACCAAACCCCAGGAGCTCAAGCCACTCAGATGAGGTTAACAAGGTGGGTTTGTAATGAACTGAGCCACAAATACGCTCAAACACGGCCCACACGACTTTAATGAGCGCGCTGGCTATGAGGAGGTAGTTGGCGACCAGTTCTTTGACGTTCGACCCGAATTCGGGACTGTTGAGGAAGCACAGGAGCCCGAGGAGGAAGCCGAACCACAAATGGAACAAGCTCAGGCTGGCTGTCTCCATGGCGAAGTAGTAATGGAGGATGCCGGCAATGGCCAGCACGAAGAGGCCCAGGATGAACATGACCAGGATCATGGGCTCGCTCGTCACCTCCCAGCGGACGTACATGCCGACGGACACCGCKACGAAGAGGTTGACCCTGGACAGGTAGCCCAGGCAGCACATAGGCGTGCACACGTCCACTACGTTCAGCGGCCTTTTGGCCATCAGCTTCTCCTCCTCCTCCTCCTGATCCATCATGGCCGACGGGGAACTCAACGCATTAACGAAAACCTCTTCTCAGTTTATTCCTTTCATCCTCACTGGACTCACAACTGAAGGACGATGTTACTTCAGGACCTTTTTGCAGAATCAACCCCTGAAAACAAATCAAATTGCATTGTTACTCAAGTTACAAACTATTTGTCACRATTTATGTACACAAACATGCAAATATTTAGATAATTTCATTTTTTTTATAAAAACACTCTTACTCAACTCTACTACTCTACAGCAATACCAAACACTAAGCCTTAAATATAATCATATCAGCTTATATCAGCTTAAACTTTAAAAACAGCAACATGATTAATTTCAGGTTTTTGTCAGTATTACCTACAGTTAAATAACTCATCTCTGAGTCAAAGCTTTAAAAAATTATAAACGAATTACAAAACAATAAAATCAAACACGAAACTATTAGAAGCACATAAAATAAAGAAAAAAGCAGATAGTGAGTGAGGCCCTGTTGCTGTCAGTGAAGTTGGTGGCGATGTGGCACTGACTCTGTTTGCTAACTAAATTAGCCGCCTCTGCTAAAGTCCTCGCGCAAGTTTTAAAGTGCCTACTCGTCAAAAGAACAAACAACAACCTAAGCACACATGCCGAAACGACAACATCTCAGACGAACTCTTATAAACATGTTTTTAGCTTTAAAATGTTGCTTACATGTTTGTTTAGGTGTCACCAACTGCGCTTCCGGGTCTCAAACTACGGCACATCGAGAGGGTCACAACAGACGCGCTTCGCTTTTCAGCCTCTCAAAACAGAACCGTTCCTTTCCTTTTTTCCCCTCATCTTGAGCTAATTTTGTTACTGTATACTGAGAAGATATGTTACAAAAACGACATTTAAAAAAATACAAATATTAGTTTTAAAAGTTAATCATTTGTACATAAAATAATTATTTCATTAGAGTTTAAAATTCCTTCATATGAATTATATTGTTATTTGTAAAAGAAATACAGGAAAAATGTAAAAAATATATATAMCTTATTTGTCTGTCAGATCAGCACTTCAACACTGAGAGCCATGAACTGTATTGGCTTTAGCTGTAAACCTCTCATTGTGGAGTTTTATCATTCGTGCACAGAAATTCCTGAGCTTTGATTTGAAAAGCTTCAAAGAACGCATGCCAAGATTATATATATA